TTCCTGCTTGCTGAGGAAATGACGCGGCTGCCCCTTCTGGTCCGGTTGGCGCCATTACTCCATGCAAGGCACGATGTCATTGCACACTATAAACAGACGAACCGAGGCCATCCCGTGTCTTTGACTTTGTGGAACACCTGGATATTCAGCTCCGGCCTGCATCCTGTCCCTCCCTGTGCACAAGTGCCTTTGTTGACCCACCTTACCAAGCAGATTGGATAAATGCATCCACGTCATGATCAAAAGTGGTAGATTCTTTGCCCTCACCTCCAATGTTGCGGCTTCACAAATGGAACTTTCCAACTACTTCCACGTCGCAATCATATCTTGCCAGTTCTACAGACGGGAATCGAAAAGTAGGAGAGGAGAAAAAGGCAAGGGAGGCAAAGCAGTAGCAGCTACAGCAGCAGTCAGAGGAGAAACCGGCAACACCCAGGCCACCAGCGTTGCCACTCACTGTGATCCCTTCCAGCTACACAGAAACATCCTAAGCCTTGTAAATCCCTAAGGGATGTTTCGTGATTCGCCATACGAGTGGGCACATCATCTCGTCGTCTGCCATGTTCACTATCGCCAGTTTCGCTGTGGCAGCGTCTGGCGATTTGGTCGCAGTCATAGGCAGATTCAGCACTGCGTTCTCCAAGGCAGTAAAAATATCTTTTCTTGTCTTCTTTATCACCACCGATAAAGAGAAGCTCAACCCTTGCGATTGCTCCCAAGATTGCTTTATAACGAGAGAGGGAGCTCAGTTTCATGTGGACCATTAGACTGCACTCCATGAGGGAAAGGGAAGGCGACATTCCGTGATGTGTGACGTGTAAAGCCAGTAGACAGCCCCAGCATCTCATTGCAAAGGACTGAACCAAATCGGTGACCAATCACCCTTCTCGCATTTCCAAAAACAGATGAATCAGCTATCCGCTCGATGTACGTATATAGTCTACAAAATAGACAACTTATGGTGCTATTTGGAAAGCGCTGAAGCCTACACTCTCACAGTGATTCTCACGTCATTGCGGACAGATGTTGCTGTGACAACGGTGGCAATTGTCCAACACTTTCACTTCAACTGCTCTCCCACAAGTGCTGCACCGCATGGGAGGGCGAAGATTCTCAGCTGCTGCTCCAGTTTCTGCTCTTGTGACAGCTCCTGCTCCTCCAGCTGCCATCGGGATGAGAGCCCATGTACCTGAGCCCCAATGGTGTAGTTGGAATGCAGCTGAGACATCAAAGGTCACATGACAGAAAATGAATGATACAGCTATGGCTCTGGTGTGTGGCTGCAGACAGGGGCAATTGAAGATACAATCAAAGATTACAGGAAAGAGAAAGGTGTGATACTTTTCCCATAAATTTAGGCCCACACACCCGCATGTATGCAAGATCAATGATCCACACTCTGGCTATTTCACACTTTGGCAGCAGACACCACCTTAAAAGAAGTCTTTGCTTGAGGAAATGCACGAGGGTTTGTGGAGTTGAAGAAGATACACGCCGCTGATTATGTGGATCCACA